AATTCCTGAAAATCAGGGGGGAAAAGCAAGAAAGCAAGCAAGCAAGAAAGCAAGAAAGAAAGAAAGAAAGAGAGGGAGAAAATAAGTGTAAACTGCCTGTCACTTAATAAGGACACAGTGAAGATGAGTGTTTCTGTAGTCTCCCTTACTATACTTTTGGTAATTCCATTCTTGAAACAATTTTCCTAGCTTAAATGATGGTGCTGTAACATATCATTGTTTGATAATACTCCCCAGTGAACATCAATCAATCATGTAGTTATTGAACACACACAACCCCCTGAGCTGAACGGAGAATGCAAAAAAAAAAAAAAAAATGAACATAGTATAATTCCTGTCCTGGTGAACAATAAACAATCAGTCCAGGAAACAGACATTTACCCTGATAAGTTTCCCTATGGACCCAACAATTAGAGGAATAAAGACCTGTGCACCAGTGGGGGAGAAAACTACCTCAGGACTTGAAACTTCAACTTGAGTAGATGTCTGGGCAAGATTTTGAAGTAGAAGTAAGGTTTCATAATGTGGGGAAGAGGAGTAGTGTTTCAGCTGAAGGGAAACTCATGAGAAAACCCGCGGACCCGTGGGAAAGACGCCACGGCCAAGGGAAGAAGGGTGTGACAGCAGATAGCAGGGGGTGGATGTGCAGAGGAGACGAAGCTGTAAGAGAGGATGTGGAGACCTGCCCCAGGGCCTGTAAACCCAATCACAGAGCTTGGAGTTTATCCTGCAGACAATGGGGAGTCAACAGCAACTTCAAAGGAAGCCATTGACACCCGTTCTGTCTTGGGGAAGTTAATTCTCTTGGCTGTGAGAAGAATGATCTGATTTGCCTGGAAATAAAAATGGACTGACAACAAAGAGACTAGTGAAGAGGTATTATTAGAGTCCATGATAGAAATGACAAGAAGGTAAAAAACAAACAAAAAAAAGTGGGTACTTATCAGGACAACTCCATATTGTTCAATGGAGAAAATGGTGACACTAAATTTAAATAGCAAAATCAAAGAGAGAAGATGTTTTGAAAGAAGGAAAGTGAGTTAAGTTTTGAACATTTTTGGAATATTTGGCAGAAATGTAGGTGATAGATCGAGGTGGAATATCTAAGAAATATCAGTAAGATATTTAGAAAAGAGGCTCTGAGTTTAGGATTTAGATTTGAGTATAAAATATAGAGTTGCAATGAAAAGAGTGGAGAGATAAATTAGCTGATGCCTAGGATTATAATTTTGAAAATATTCATGGTCATAGTACAAAATTTAGTGGAGGGGATAGTGAGTGGACCTGTATTTGGGAAATAGGAGAGGAGCAGCTAGAAAGATAGCTGTTGCACTAAGGTGAGGTTAGGGTTTCTAGAAGAAGAAAGGAGTCAACAGTATCGAAAGCAGCATCTGGATAGAAGATGAGGCATGGCCTGAGATATTTAGGTTATGCTGATTATGCTGTTTGACTTAGGAAACTACAAGTTGTTTATTTTTTCTTCAAGGTTGCACGTTTGTGGTTTGTGATCTTCTGTACAGCACAGCTTCTTCAATTTGATTATGCCTTGGAACCGCCTGGGGGGTCCTGTGAACATGCAGATTCCGATTCAGTAGGTCCAGATGAGACCTGAGATTCAGTATTTCTAACAGGCCCCAGGTGGGGCCTATTTTTGTTGGTCTATGGACAGCACTTTGAGTAGCAAGACTCTGGTGGTTAGTGAAGTGATCACAATTCAGGATGTTTACTCTGAGAAGCTGTCTTTCCTTGCAGTAAATGGATATTACAGTCCCATATGGTAATTTAACTGATGCTGGATTAGAAAGTTCTGGCAGTTTGAATCTTTCTGTGTATTGGACACCAGATGAGCTCCATCCTTTTTTTTTTTTTAAATTGGGTGTCTCTAGTCCCCTTTTACCTTACATGTTAGGGGAAATAAAAAGCATTCCTTTGATATTCCACTTTATCAGGCAGATGAACTGATACTCCCTTTAGTAGAACCCACAGTGAGTCTCGAAATATTTATTTCTTTTGTGCTTTTGTTCCTGATATTTTTGCCACTCATTAGCTTGGAGTCTCATTTGACAGCATTTCAGGAAAAAAATATGCAATCTTCAGTCCAGATGTCTGAAAATCCATAGTTTACTGGTGTTCTGACTTTATTTTTCTACCCCACTTGCCTCAGAGCTGTGTCTACATGTTCCTTGTGTCTGTTTTACTAATAAATTGTGTTAGCAATACCTACTCACCTGCTTTTTACTAGTCTGTTCTTAAATCCGAAACTTGGGAAATGGTATCAAGCACTCTGGAGGGAAAAAAAAATGCTTTTTTGCTGTGTAGGTTGGGGTGGTGAACGCACAACACAGTGTACGGATGATGTGTTGTGGAATTGAGCACCTGAAACCTATATAATTTTGTTAATCAGTGTCACCCCCAAAAATTCAATATAAAGGATAAATAAATAAATAAATAAATAAATATCCATTAATTTAAAAAAATAAGAAAAATAAAGGGAGCTAGAGGCGGTGTGGGAAGTGTTGGGAGCTTGAGTTACTGTGGAAAAAATGCAAACTGCACAAGAACCTAGATGCAAATGACACGGTATTGATGGAACATCCGTAGTGATTAAAAGGAAAAGGGGGAGAATCAACTACTGAGGTTTCAGAGAAAATGGTGATGCTGCAAAGAGAAATCAAGAAACTAAAGGAAGGCTCTGATTAGAACTTGAGTAATACAAGAAGGAAAGTGGCGAGTTTCATATGGTGATTTTGAGGGTCATGGAAACGGACGTCTTTTACTCAGTTGATATTCATGGCTGGGAGTATGTTGCAGACATTAATTCTAAGTTTCTAGTACATTTTACTTGAAATCTTGGGTAAGAAACAAATTACTAAGTGAAAGAATACTTGTAAGTGTTTGAGGAAAGAGGGCATAAGGAAATCATTTCTTTGAGAGCTGGATTAAGGAAGAGGGCCTTTGAGGAAATGAGAAAATGGGCAAGAATGACGGGGGGCAAATCCCGTGAGCTTCTTGGTATGACAGCCGGGAACGAGAGAGCTCGAAAAGGGCAGGGGAAGGAGGCCAGACACAAAGATGTTACAGTGAGAATCGAATACAACTCTGTGTCCTTCAAGTAACGGTTTTCACATACAAGGGGAGCGGGGCAAAAGCCAAGTTTCAAGAGATTAAAGTATGAGGGCTTGGTATAAAAATATAGGCAGCGAGTATCCTCTTGTAATACACTGGAAAACACACATGGGCCATAAAACCAAATCGATTTTGTCCAAGGCCGTTGACCTCTCTAAATTTTGTTGTTGGCTTTTTACTTTTCTACTAGAAATGATGATATTTCTTAAAGCCATGGAGGAAACCCCAGTGAGGTAGCTTCAATTCCATGAAGGAAAGTCCACTGTTTTATTGCTGTCACTCCTGCTCATATTTGTGTTCACTTTGGAGAGTTACAGGATAAGCCACAGTGGCAAACCTTTAGGCAGTTCTCTTACTCTTGGATTGACACAGTAAACTGAGAAGTTCACAAAAGATTTTCTTTACTTTAGGTGCTTTTTTTTTAAAATTTAAATTTGAAATTAATTTTCTCATTTCATTGAGACACTTGATTTTTATTTTAAATTATCCTCTGTTTTTATTGTTATTTAGGTAGTTTGGCCACTTGTGGCCAGTTGACTCAGTGTCCAGTGTGCTTAGAATACAGAAAGCAATACTATATACAAATAATAACATATCTCAAATCAAATGTGAAAAACAAGTGCTCTGTGAACCTAAAAATCTTCCTAGACATGAGGATTTAGTCCTGTCTAACCAGGCAGTTTTAAGGACTTGCATGTTCCTGCCACAGACTTGCTCGGTGGAGTAAGAGTTAACTTGGGAAATACGTCATCACCTTAAGAAATCCACCCTTTGCGTGGGATACCCTCTGCTTGGCAGCAAGGCAGCTGGATCCACTGCAGCAGGGCTCCAAGCGACCCTTCTACCCTGGCTCCAATGCCCCGTGTTGTTCCTGTTTCCTTGGAGGCCTTGGAAACTGCATGCAACTGTGTTCATGTAGAGTCATCCCAGTTCACCTGAGAGGTGATGCTTCACACAGGCATCAGTCACCCCATAACCATGCCAGGGCGCGTTGACATGTTTCAGGTCAACAGGGTCTTACCATATCCTTCAGAACACCAATTTCAGACCCCGTGGGTAATTCGGAAGTCAATTTAACTTAAAGTGCACATTTTCATTTTGTTTAAAAAGTATTTACTGCTCTTCAAGACTTGGGTTAAATAATGTGTTCTTGTGTGGTTTTTATCAGAGATTTTTATGTTAAAATTATTAAGAATTATAATTTGAGAATGCCCAGAAGTTGTCATGAGTAGTTGTTCAGTTTGTTTTTGAAGAATTTAACTTAACTTTAATCTCAAGTTGTGCATAACTCTTTCTTCAGAAAAAAACATTTGTATAGTTTATTTCTTTAAAATGCTCTATCTAGGATGAAAGAGCAACAGTAAATTATTAGAAACCAGATAGTTTAACCAGGTGGTTTTGAAAATCACATTTAGGTTAAAACAGCAAATTAGAAGAGTATATTAAAGAAAATAATGACTCATTTCATACTCTTATTTTCATGTTAACTTTTTGAGGAAGAGATCTTTCTATTGTATAAGTCAAACTTTAGCTTTCCTAAAGTTTCCATAGTCATTTACAAAGATTAAATATTGTATAAGGTGAAATAATACAACTTAAAATAATATGAATAATATCACACAGACTTAATTTTAAAGTCAGCGATGACACACTTTTTTACAGGGGCGGACTGCATTATTTCATAGTGTGTTCATAATCAAATGTCATGGTATATATGTTGCATTATCATAATTTTCTAATTAATTTATTCTTTGTACATGTGTATACATGTTCCAATTGCATTTCATTAACTCATAGTTTTCTTGTAAGTTTGTGCCTTCTTTTCATGTTCAAAGAATCTCTTTAATTCAATTTCTCTGTTTCTCCTCATACAGTCTGGCAGCCAGATATGCAACTCAGTCTAATCACAGTGGAATTGCAACCAGTCAAAAAAAGCCTACTAGGTCAGTTAATATCTCTAATGTATTGCTTATTAGTGATAATAAAGTAAATGCCCCGTGATACTTTGTCCTATCATTCTAATTGTTTTTGAAAATTACATACTTCTGTATAAAAAGTTTAGAGGACTGATGTTCCAAGAGAATATTCTTATGCAGTCTCGGGGATGAGTGTATGTGTTAGATCATTGAAGTGGGGCTTGACTTCGTATAATCTAGTTTTGTTGCACATAGTGCTCCAGCTGGGCTGAAGCCTAGGTTCCAGGCTTAGAGAGGGTCAAGGAAAAAACCGCTTGGAAGGACCCATTTCAGGTCACGGAATCTGGAAGTTATGCACGAAGGTTATGATTGCTTTCTAACATAGGCATGCTGTAATCATTGCACATTTTGAAGCAGAACTAAGAAACAGTAGCAGATTTTTGTGGCACCAGGTCAGCCTGGACTGTTCTTTTATCTATAATAGATATAATGTTTGCTTCTTTATGATATATGTATTCTAAAGACAGTCTGTTATAATAAATGACATTTCATTATGTACTGTTTGGAAAATACTGGTATATAAAAATGTGTGGAAAGTGGCTCTCTTTTCACTGTGAAGTTGCTGAAGGCTTGATGGTGGCATGGAACAGCTGAGTGAAGCCACAGCAATGTGTCTCGCACCCCTGATTATTATGTGACTGTGCCTCTCACTCACTGGGGAAGTATCTCCGGGTGGTTTGCTAGTCAGTGCTGTGATGAGTCATAGTACAGTGACTGCTTATGATGCCTTGACTTGAGGTATGTGCTTTACCCCTGGCCTTGATTTTCTAAGTTATGTTCATTTCCATAGTAATTAAAATTATTTTGGAGAGACAAATTAAAAGGGTATTTAATTAAAATTAGAAGATATGTTATACATTACAGTGTGCAAAGAACAGTGACCTGCCATGTGCACAAGTATTTTTATTACCACTTCTAAGACTGATGCTCATAAAATATATTTTAAGGACTTTGATTTAATAGAACATCTCTATTTCTTTTTTTTTTAACTTTATTCTCATTTCTCTTTTTATTACTTTGACAAATGATCTGGAGCTCTGGCTGCCTGTCAAATGAGGGTAATGAGAAGAGCAAATGGATTTTTTAATTTGTTTTCCTGAGAACTAAAGATCACTTGGCTTCATGGGTCACAGTAAAGATTAAAATGCCTTCTAATTGCTTTCTAGAAACAGATCAACTTTTATTGCAAGCAGGACAGTTTTTCACAAAGTTAGTTTATACATGTGAGTTTGGAAAGAACTTTCTAAATCTATGATTGTGTCTACAGGAACACTTTTCAGATTTATTATGATTGGGATGTTTGGCCAAATTAATTAGTTGAGTCCTTTCTGCACCGGGCAGTCATGGGCTCTCAAAATCCCTGTGTCTGTGGTTAGTGTGCTTTACTTACAACGTCTGTTGATCAATTTGAACAAAAGTTTAATTGCTGGAATCATTTGGAAAAAATTCTAATCTTGTGTATGACACAAACTCTCATTAACAAAATAGCTGATGAGATCTTTATCAGCCACATGTATCTAAACTCTAAAATACAGTCAACATTTTGAAACTATTAACTATTCCAAGAAATCAGCACTTCTGTTTTTAAGCTGCTATTTGTGTTTTCCCGATGTTCATTCCATTTTGCAATACCTATTACTATAAAAAAGTATTTATGTTATTTAAGCATTCAATTTCCTAATAATCTATGGAAATAATATATTAAGTAATATCATAAATTGAAATAATTTGTGCAATGTAACTTAAAATGTGAATATTGTCACAACCAATTGTGAAATTGTGCTATATTAGACACCAGTGTAACAGATATAAAACAAAGCGTCTTTTATTTTAGACACTTTGTAAATAAGAACAGTAAAAAAATTCAATGATGTTTTATAATTCTGGGTTATTTTTGTTTTTTTCTTTTAAAATAGAAATGATCACAGCAGTACACAGTGGCACTCACATGGTGGCAGCAAATACAAGCAAAATCGCTGGCAACCTTTACTTTCATGCATTTAAATATGTCTCAGAATGCCACAATTAGTTCCTCATTTCTAGTTTTTAATTTGCGTGGATTGAGTTTATTATATATACAATATATGTTAATATAAAATAAAGTACAGCAATTGCACATTTTAGGCATAATTCATAAGAAAGAATTGATACTTGAAATTTTAATATGGAAACTGTTTAAACAGTCAAATAAATGATCCAAACTGATATTTATGGTTCAAATAAAATAACTGTAGATTATAACTTCTTGTCCAACTTCCCCTAATTTCAAGACAGTCTGCATATATTTCCTAAGGTCCTGTCCTTCATACATGAAGAACAGCTAAAGCCACTGTCACTGTAGATGCATTTTAAATTGTCTTTCTGCTAACAGAAATTTTCTTCTTCTGAGAGCTGCAATGTTTCTTGTGATATTGCCTCTGATCAGTTGGCCACATTTGAGAGATGAAGTCTAGATGCTTACTTTGGGCAAGAGAATGAAAGTTTTTATGAGAGTCAGATCGGTCAAAAATAAATTAGCTCGTGACCTTGCTCTGCACTCCAAGTTGTAGAGGAGCTAACTAGCTCAGATATTTAATAAATTTTTACTGTTTGCAGTTGGTTCGGTAACTTCATTCTTCTTGTTATTGCCATGCAAGTTGATTTAGGACACAGCTACCGAAGATTAAAACAAATGCCCATATAGCTTAACAAATGCAGGTACTGATTAATGCCCTGAGAACATAATAAAGCTAAGTGTCATTATTTCTCTTGCTTTTTATGTAATTGTTACAGTATATTTAGTCAATTTCTTATTCATCAGGGTGTGGTATGATTTTTTTCTGTTAAAAGTGACTTTATTTCTAATTGCTCTATATTGTTAATATACTTTGGAGCCATAGTTACTGGAAAATGAAACAGGATTTTTCTGAAGATTCTCAAACCTTGTGTTTAGTAGTTATTTGTCACTTAAAGCAACATTTTCCTCTACGTAGATTTTAGAACATCGTAGGTTATGATTTTCCCATGAACTCTTCCCTGCTCAGAACCTTCTGCTCTACAGCTTTTCATAAGGCACAATAATGATGTAATTTTTCTTATACTATTTCAGGCTTCCAGGTCCCTCTAGGGTGCCCGCTGCAGGCAGCAGCAGCAGCAAGGCCCAGGGAGCCTCTAATTTAAATAGGAGAAGTCAGAGCTTTAACAGCATTGACAAAAACAAGCCTCCAACTTATGCAAATGGCAATGAAAAAGGTAAGCGGTAGCCTGTCACAGCGTGATGGCCTCAGTCTAACCTACCTGTGTTGTAAATTACATGCTAAATCGAATATTTCAGCAGTGTTAAAGCTTTTGGATTGGAAATGTTACCAGTGAAGTCTCCTGTGTTTTCTAACTGCCCCTCCTGAATTCCAGCTTTCTTCGGGGCGTTTCTTATCTGAAGAACATTTTAAGGAAACAGACTCATTTATGTGAAAGTGGTTAATTATATACAGTATAAAATCTGTTTCTCAAAATAGTTTCTCCCGGATGCATATAATTAGCATTTTCTTTTGTCTTCTCATGTTTTATGAACATTTATCCTGACATCATAAATCCATATTAAATTTATTGGAATCCTTAGCTTTAGTTAACATAAATAAATACCATGGCGTTTGGGGCAGTTAAGGTTGGGGCATCAAATTCTGAGACGTAATTATGATGGGTGTTTAATCTTTGAAAGCAGCAGGACACAGAAATATTATAACTGTAGTTTTCCTAAAGGGACAAATTATTCATGTTTATTTTCTTGAAAGAATGCAAAATAGAAATATCAAAACTCACAGTTATCAGGAAGAAAGGACATGTAGTGGAGGTCTGTGCTGAAGCCAGATTATGTATTAACCTAACGGCGTACAGGTCTCTGTAATGTACAAAATGCGCATTTAAAGAGGAGCTGACTTGATGCATCTCACTGTGGATCGTGTGTACAAGCAAGAAAGTATGTAGTTTACACCTAAACCATGAGAAAATCAAGATCCTATACTATTGTGTGACTGTGTGAGGGACTAGGGCATTCTGCTGGATTTTGAGGTAGCATTTTCAAATCAACAGAATTTTAACTTCTCTTCATGATACATGCAACAAGACATGAAATTCAAAAATGACAAATATGCTTAGTCAATAGAACAGCTGGCAAATTTGGTTTAACTAATTGAACCAAGTAGGAACTTTTTTGCTCAGATTACATTTCAAATTATTTCCTATAGATGATCTGATTGGACAACTCTCTCTTACTCAGACATGAGTTGACAGGGGTAATCTATGAATTAGGTATTTTTGCAAGAATTTCCCATCTACTAACACAAAACTGGACAGACCATAAATCCCTGAAAGCAGACCAATGTGTCTTGATCCCTGAAATATCCCCAGTTTTTTAGTTGAATGGAAAAAGAAGAATATAGTGGGTATTTGGAAGTTAGGTGTTTGTCTTTAAAATATAGAATAAAACCATTGATTAAAGAACCTGAGATATATTACTGAAGACTTATACTTTTCCTGGGGAAAAGTGGGAAAACAATTCCTTACCAGAAAAAACATTTCCCTCATTTTGTGACTCTCCTCGAAAGTGCATGTGCTGTGAAATTCTCAGGGAAACTAAACCTATTTAGACAAGGAGTTGTCCTGAACAGGCTGCTCAATCATATATCCAATTTAGCTATGTGATAGTGCAGTTATATAATATTTTCCCAACCAATTACTAATAACATTGACAAGGAGACCCAGAAATGCTTTGGGTGACTTAACACTTCGATATCACAATGTATCTGAATTTTCTTGTCATGTGAAATAAATTTTAAAAAAATTTCTGGTGTTTTAAAGTAAAAATCCAAAGGTAGGCAAGCAGTGATATTTTTTCATAGTTGTTCAGTCTCTCTTACGTATATTTAGGAAGCAGTACAAAATTAGAAAACAGCAATATTTACAGTAACCACAAGGTGGAGACAGATGACATACATTGTGAGGGTCTTGATCATGAAAAGCAGATAGACTTAGGTCCAGATCTGGAGCAAAAGACAATAGTTTTCATGGTGAGTTAGTCATTATTTTTAATTCTAATTAACTAAAAATTACAAAATATTTAATGTGTATGATCTCACATTCACAAATATTTATAATACCTCAAGTGTAGGCATTAAGTGCCTGAAAGCTGCCAATAATAACTTAAGCGTAAATTTTAGTATATGTGCTGCTGAAGCGAGCACTTTAAGCGTAAATTGTATCATATGATATAGTATAGCCATCTGGAATTTGTTTTACATGCTACATGGCATTTTCTGTTAATATGGAGTTGCAAATTTATGTCAATATATCCAATATCAATGTTTATAAATTAGTATTTGTGTCATGATGTTTTATATTTCAAAAACATTATCTTAAATTATGAGAGCAAACAAAACAATAATAAACATTTCATATGAAACAATTTATAATTTGTTCTTTAGACTATTCCAGTGGTATATCTTTTTTCTGGTATGAATATTTTATTTAACGTTTTTTTTAAATCCTCACCTGAGGATATTTTTCCCATTGCTTTTCAGAGAGAGTGGAAGGGAGAAAGAGAGAGAGAAAAACATCGATGTGAGAGAGACATACTGACTGGTTGCCTCCTGCATGCGCCCTGGCAGGGGTGGGATAGAGCCTGCAACTGAGGCACGTGCCCTTGACAGGAATCAAACTGGGCCCGTGCTCTAACCACTGAGCAACCCGGCTAGGGCTATTTAACTTTTGACGTGGAGATTTGGTATAACATAACAATACAAGATCCCATCTGCTGACAAGTTGACCTCTGTCAAAACTAGTTTGCTTACATATCCAGGGCATAACTAAGTAAGATGAAAATTAAACAAGAATTTTCAAAGGTTACAGTATTAAAATGACAGAATTCAGAAAGTACTAACTTGAGTATTCTAATCTAATTGCTATTCCTTTTAGTTATTAGAAATCGTAACATTTAAAATTAATAAATTAAGATATTTTACTGGAAGGGTTAACCAGATTCTCTAATATGCTCCCTGAATGCTTGTAAATAGAAACACATTTTCTCCCTTCTTTAACAAGTCTTAGTTGATGAGTTATATGAGTCAGTTGAAGAATCCCTAGAATTTGTAATAGATAGCAAAGGCTTATTCACAATTAAACAATTTCATTTCCCTATTTTAAAAATGCCATTGAAAGCACAGTAGCTTTTCACATGTATGGGATTGTAAAATAGCTTATTTGCGATCTAATTTGCCATCTAATGAAAGGAAATCATAGAGAAACACAGATTGTACTTCAAAAGATACATCGGACATTATTTTAATAATGCTCATTTCACCAAATGAATTAAAATATCAGTGAACATGGCCATCGATTTTCGCCTGCAGAGAAGGCTGCAATAGAAAAGTTGTGATGGAAGGCGATGTCATCCTGCCATTCTGTTGAAATGGAATGCGGGGACACATTTCTCAGAACAAATGGCGAAATGAAGATAGCATTGTTTCCAGAAACCCGTTTCTTTTGAGAGTCCAAGTGTCTTCTCTTGGTGACCTGCCATTCAGAAACGAACAATGAATAATATGTTCTGACACCAGCATTTATCACTTGGCCCATGCACCTGACAAGATTACTCTAGACAGATATATGCTTGAAAGAAAAACCAAATACCTGTTCACTGGAAATCAGGGACCCTGTGAAAATGACGCCCTGGTTCATTTGGACACACATTTTATATCCATAAAGCCAATTATCATAAGAAATCATTCTTGTTTGACAGAATCCGGATAAGTATGAAAAAGCTTAGAATTATTAGGAATGTTAATATTCCTAGCTTTCTCTGGAATTCGGTTTCTGAATTAGGATCTGTGAACACTATTACTTGACAGTTTGCTAGCAGAGAGCTGTTTTCCGTGCTGCTAGGAGACACGCCCCAGCGCCAGAGGGCATGCTCCCCCTTTGCATTGTCCCCCCATGTGACGTGTGCACTGCACCTGTGCATCCTCAAGAGGAGACAGCCTCTCTTCTCCTGGATCCTGATGAGGTACCTTCTGGTGTGGAAGTGTTTACTTTCATTGACACTCAACATAGCAACATTTTTGATTGAACTTTTAAAAACTATAAGGTTTAATATGAATGTTGCATTACTCATGGAATTTTGACTGCTAAAATATAGATATCTAATTCTGAAGTGTTTTCTCTGTTTTTCTTTTGCAGGGGAAATCCTTTGACATTTCTCCCCCTGAGATTAACTAATTGAGGAAGTACTTATTATTTATTTAAATTTAAAATTTATTTTATTTTTTAATCGATTTTTAGCTAGAAAGGAAGAGAGAGGGAGAGAAAGAGAGAAACACGGATGTGAACAATTTACATCCCCTACTGGGGATAGAGCCTACAACCTAGGCNAAATCCTTTGACATTTCTCCCCCTGAGATTAACTAATTGAGGAAGCACTTATTATTTATTTAAATTTAACATTTATTTTATTTTTTTAATCGATTTTTAGCTAGAAAGGAAGAGAGAAGGAGAGAAAAAGAGAAACACTGATGTGAACAATTTACATCCCCTACTGGGGATAGAGCCTACAACCTAGGCGTGTGCCCTGACGGAACCAAACTGACAAGCTTTTGGTGCACAGGATGATGCTGAGCCACACTAGCCAGGGCTAAATTTTATTTTAAATTATAGTTTACATTCAGTATTATTTTGCATTAGTTTCAGGTGTACAGCATAACGGTTAGACAATCACATACTTTACAAAGTGTTCCCCCTGGATGTTTCCAGTACCCACCTGGCACTATATATAATTATTACAATATATTGACTATTTCCTATGCTGGACTTTACATTCCCATGACTATTTTGTAACTACCAATTTGTACTTTTTAATCCCTTCACAGTTTTCACCCATTTCCCCAACCATCAGTCTTTTCTCTGTATCTGTGAATCTGTTTCTGTTTTGTTTGTTTATTTATTTCATTCTTTAGACTCCACATATAAGTGAAATCATATATTTGTCTTTCTCTGACTGACAACTTATTTCACTTAGGATAATACCCTCTAGGTTCATCCACGCTGTTGTAAATGGTAAGATTTCATTCTTTTTTATGGCTCAGTAATGTTCCATTGTAAATATGTGCCACAGCATTTTTACCCACTCATCTACTGATGGGCACTTGGGTTGTTTCCAGATCTTAGCTACTGTAAATTATGCTGCTATGAACATAGGGGTGCGT